CTCTCGTTGCCACGACTTAGAAACTTACTCTGCGCGAAAGCGCATTTCCCTCAAACGGGACGATGACAGATGGTGAGGGTGGGAGGCGTTTTGAGTTTTGACGTCTAAAATAGAGACTTTTGGAGCCAACTGGTTATAAAAACGGCGTCGTTTTTAAAATCGTAATTTTTTTTGGCTGTATTTTTGCCTAAAAATCGATCTTTGATCTCCCAGCGAAAATAATATTTGACGATTCAAGATGACTTTTTTTCTGGCCATTCGATGATCCAAAAAAGTGACCAGTGGTCAAAATATTGTCATAGTTATGGTATTCGTTTCAGCGTTAAAACCACGACTGTTGTTTGACTGAACAGTAATTATCCGTTGTAATTGCAGGGGACGCGATGAAGGCCGATTCGGATTTCCGCAAGAAGGAGTACGAAGCGCAGCATTTTGGATTTCTACCGAAGGGTTTCACGGATACATGTTGGTACTTCATATCTGTCATTTTCAAGGGATAAAATTTTTGTTTTTATGCACTTTATGCTTGTAACAGCAGTACAAAACGCATATTGTTACGGGGTTTTCTCTGTGTGTGTATGTGTGCGTGTGTGTCTGTAAGTGTGTGTGTGTGTATGTATGTATGTATGTATGTCCGCAACAACTTGCCCGCAACTTTCAACTCGGAAACTGCAAAAGCCAGGAAGTTGAAAATTTAAGGGAACGTCCCCCACCCACGTGTGACCCTGCAAATTTAAATTCTGCTTCCCCATACCCGCGGGTAACAAGTACGGCTCCGCAAAAGTTTTGGCGGGAAAAATTATTACTTCGGGAATCACGGAAGCTAGGAAGTTGAAATCATCTTATGGTTATGTCCCCTGCCTACATGCGATCCAGAAAATTTAAATTCAGCTTCCGCTTCTTGATTTTTTTCAGTTCTGTTGAAATCATTCATAGATTTTTGGCTTCTTAGTTGATTTTTTTCGGGTTAATTTTGCAGTGTATAACGAAATCATTGAATGTTGGGCGAAAATTGTTGAAAAGGAATTGATGCCGGCATTGCCGCTGGATGATGTTGATGAGGAAATGAAGGAGCAGCTAAAGACGAGTTTCATTCAAATGATTGGTGAAAATAACGTATTGAATTCGGTGATCAACAAAACTGAGGTAAGAGGCGAAATTCAATCAAAAAAATTTCAGACAAAAGAAAAATTCCGTTTGGACTCATTAGCTTCCTTGTTCTTCTCCTCTATCTTGCCCTAATCCGTGCCTCTGGAGGTTTTTTTCACCTCCCCTTTTCCCTTCGTCACTAACCCCTCCCCTTCTCTCCCTGCGCCTTGGATCCGCTAATATTGTAGGGACGGGAAACATCAGTACAGCCTCCTTTCCACCTCATGTAAAATGATAAGTATGTCTGTGTTTAAAACTTGATCTGCTTAGGATCGAGTTTATGCATCGAGTTCTTTTTTTTTTTATCACAATAACATGGAGTTTATGCAGCTCTAATAGCAACAAATAGTAATTATTTTGAATTTTGAGCTTTTTTTTTGACATAAAAGAAATAAAAATTGGCATGTTGTTAATTTTAGGAATATTTTCACAATTATTTTTTCCATATACCAAACCATGTGACACTTCCGCATGATCTGCCAAATTTGCTTCTGCCAAAGAATTGGACTGCGAAATCGGCTCTGCATCGTATCGAGGCACTACGTAAGGAGATTATTGATGTGAGTAACTTTTACACGCTTTAATAGGTACACTCAAAAAATTGTGCTTGCTGGGGGGAGTCCTTGCAAGTAGTATTCCTGTAAAACGCGGGGGG